TTATAGTCTAGGACCTAGATCCAGACCCAAACCCGATTGAACCCCACTCAAAAATTAAAATGTCTATATATTTGACTATATTTAACTATATTTTACGTATTGGGACCAAAAAACTATTACTAGACATAGACTCGACCAGTTTCAGACTAACATAGTGTTGAGGTCTGAACTGGGACCCGATCCACCAATTCCAATTTTTGGACCCATACCGGGACTCAGATTAGATCTACCCCTTCGATCCCAAGTCGGGTCTAGGTCCGGTCTAGTCGGGTTTGTGTTTGATAATAATTTCCCAGTCCCAATATGTAAAATATATCTAAATATAGTTAAATACATGGATATTTTAAGATTTGGGTCAGGTCAATCCGTGACCACAACTATATTTTTGGGTCCGGGATTGGGTTCATGTTTGGGTCCCATATCATTTTTTCGGCTCGGGCCGGCTGCCACCCCTAATAATTTTTTATATGATGATGACACATTTATATACTGTATGCAGTATATATAATAATATTCCTGAGAATAAGGGAATTCCCCACTCCAAATTTAAGCCGTAAATTACTTAAATCTATACATTATTATTTAGAGGATAATGAATTGTTTGGATATGACATGGGTCTATCCAAAATTTAAGCCGTAAAATCGTCAAAGTCTTTGTCATGTTATTTGGAAGATAAAAAGAACTGTCTAGATAATGTAAACGAGTAATCATATGTTTTTAAAATTAAAAAAAAAGGTGTGGTTTGCAATAAGATTGTAACCTTAAACAATCCAAGCACACGTGTAAATATAATTTTGATATATGAAAAACTTTTACGATGATTTGAGAATCTATTTTCATTTTTAATTATAAAATTTTAAATTTTAAATATTATTTAAATAAAGTAGACCTACAAACACATGAAAATCTTGAAAATGGACGGTCTAGATAATATGTTGCAAGATACACTTTTCAGATTCGCAATCTTTTCTTTTTCTTTTCATATTCATACATCTCGATGTTGTGATAATCAATTAGAGGGTTTCCCAATATTCAAGCAACCTTTTATGATAGATTTTTGAGGTGCACCTTTCATATTACATTTTATTTTATTTTTTATTTTTTTGGTAATTTAGTGGGGAAGACAATCCCTATCCATTTTTTCAATAGATTGGGGAGTTACATTTTGAATGTGTTAATTGGGGGTATCCGCAGTACCTCGGTGTAGGGATGCTACCACCATGACCCCCGCCCCTTTCCTATTACATTTCATTGCTGCAACCTTATGTATACTTTTCCATTAATAAATGACAAGAAACCATCTTTTCATTGTTGCATCAGTTTTTACACCATTGGTTTCTTCCAATGAATAAAACGACGACTAGGGGACCGGACTCGGCACATGACCTAGCCAGGTAACGTTGGCCGAATCCAATTACTCCAACCGAGTGGGGAAGAGTTCGGCCAAGCAAAAAAGTATTCAAATAATAAATATACAAAAATAAATCCAAAAAATTGAAAAAATATGTTTGAAGTAAATTAAACAAAGTACATTTAAATTAGGTTAGAAAGTAATTAAAAAATGGATTTTGAAATAAATCAAAGAGTAATGTAGGTATTTTCTAGAGGGCAAGCTTTCTATGCTTCCCTTGGAGCAGAAAATTTCTATACTTCCTTAATATTTTCCACACTTTGTTGCTTCTCTACCCATCTTTCTTTTTATCTCGGCTTTTTATTGGATCAAGATCATCCCAAACAACAAGGATGCCCACTTGGTTCATTTTGGATAGGGGTGGCAATGGACTCGGACCCAACCTGGGACCTGACGGACAGACCTGCCCTGGGTTCGGTTCCAAATCTTGGATCCAAACACTATTTGGGTGGGTCTGGATTTGGGTCTATGTCTGGATCTGGGTCTGGGTCTTGATCCAGGTTCCATATTTCCCAATTCATAAAAATATGTTAAATTATATTTAAACACAGATATTTTAGTTTTTGGACAGAGAGGCCGGAAACTCATTCTTGTCAAAACTCCATAGAAATTGTGTTCCACATTATCCATGCTTTATTTTGTGTCAAAAGAAAAAAATCCATTCCAATCGTGAATTTTGCTTGCATCCTCAAGTGCCAAACACAAAGAAATGTCCACAAATAGAGCATAAATCATTATGAACAAAACCAACTCTACAGGTTTTGAATACTAAAAGGGATCTATTGGCTATTTCTCATTCAAATGGAGAAAAACCAAATAGTAATAATTCATTTATTTAATCAAAGTTCGACATGAAGGAAAGCTCTAGAGTTAAAAACCTCATTACAATTGATCAATGTAGAAATAACGTGGAAAAGCTTATATATTTGAACAAGAAACTAAAATAGAAACAGGAAAAATTATAACGTCAACAGTAATGTGATATAAGAGTGACTTGGGTTGGTACACGGAAGGGTCGTATGTCTGTTTGATGTCCTAGTCTACCTGAAAAATAGTTAAACATTCAATACATGCCGTCTACCTAAAAAATAGTTAAACATCCAGTACATGACAACTGCAATTGTTTCCCATATGGGATGTTCACCGGCTATTGATCAATGCAGTCCTTATGGAAAATATGGTGGACTCCCATATGGGACGTTTTTGAGCCGGAGCAGAATCACCCAAGTTTCAAAACTCAAGGCAAGAGACACCATTGAAAATTGAGCAATGGCTTTCTATCTTCAGTTATTGATCAATGCAGTCCTTATGGAAAGTATGGTGGAAAGTTGCAGCTCCCTAATTAGTTCATCTTTCATGAAACCCTCATAACATATGAAACAATCGCTACCATACCAAGAAGGTGGTGCTACCACATCACTACTTTGAATTCAAGAGATCGGAAAATTGTTAAAAATTTCCTCTAACCCTTTCGCTGCTCACATTTTCGCAAAAATATTTCTAATAAGAAAAATAACCAAAATACCCTTGCAAGTTGCAAAGACATTTTGGTTAATTCTTCCTATAAAAATAAGTAAAGCCACACCTCATAACTCATCAAAAAAAAATTGCAATTCAAGTATTGGAAAACCTTTAGATCGATCATCTCAGCTTGAGCATTATGGTTATGAAAAGAAAATAGAATTTCTAGATCTAAAAATACTTTACATTGTAACAAATTACCTAGAGTATCAATTTCGCTCTAAAATAAGTGTTCAAAGATCTACAAGATCTATACCATTTTTTTAGTTTCAAATTTTATCATTGTGGTTGAAAATTTATTGTAGAGCCATCATAGAAATTTCGTTGCCGAAGGTGCTTTCTGTATGAGGATTTGAGGTGAAGCTTTATTTTGTTCTCATAAAACACTAGGCCGTATATAAACTTCATCCAATAGTAGGGCTGCAGCCTATCAAAATAAGTAAAGCCTCACCTCATAACTCATGGAAAATTGCAATCCAAGTGATGGAAAACATTTACATCGATCATCTAGGCTTGAAGGCCCAACTCATAATTGGCAAATTTGTAGGTTCAATTCTTCCTGGATGCACGCCAATTGGATCGTTTAATAAGTCTATTGGAATTAGAAATATATCAATAGAATCTCATCATCCATATATAAAAAATTGGTATGACATGATTATGGTTATGAAAAGAAATCAGAATTTCAAGCTCCAAAAATAGTGTATATTGTAGCAAATTATTTAGACCGTTCATTTCACCGTAAAAATAAGTGTTCAAATATCTACAAGATCCATACATTTTTTTATTTTCAAACTTTATTGTCAATTTTGAAAGATCATAGAGATTTTTGTAGTCAAAAATACTTTCGGGACCAAAAATTTGAGGTAAGGCTTTATTTTGTTTTCATGAAGCCTACGCTTTACAGAAATTTCATCTGGGTAGCGCCACAAGTAAAACTTTTCCTTTTAAAAAGAATCACAATTCTTCATTAAAAAAACCCAATAATCTCATTCTCTCCATGTAAGTCAAACATCAAAAACCCAATCATCTCATTCTTTCCATGTAATTCAAAGAGTGAGGTTAGCCCAAGGCCCCGAATATATGATACATAGATTAAAGCCACACCTTAAAACCCTACTTAAAAATGTTATCACCTGTACATGAATACGAATGATGACCTAAATTTCAACCTCTAGTTATAAAATTTAAAGGCCCAAAAATGATACAAAATATAGCTAATCCATGAAGCATGAACACTTAAAAATCCACTTTCCAAGGAATATGTTACAAGATCTACCATTTTTAAGACTGAAATCTATATTTTTGTAAAAAATCTATTATTTGTAGAGGGTGAGGGCAAAATGATCGATTTTGAGCGCTTTTCAGCATCAAAACTGCAATTTCCAACAAGATGTACCTTTTTTTAAATCAAATAGTAGAAGAGTCCCACTGATTTTATAAAATAAAATAAAATCATGGAAATGTCCCCTAAAGAGAGAAAAAAAGAAAAAAAAGGTCATTCCTTTATCTTCTCAACCCTCTTTAAATCGACATTTCCTTCGGAATTACATTATATCTTTAAAAAAAAAGAAAAAAAAAGGTAAAGTTGACAAGTATTTTACTATATTTTTTGTATTTTTTCAGAAAAGTAAAACGTGCCTCAAGGAACGCACTTTAGATGGACGTCAATGAAGGGCAGCCCCAACTAAATTCACAATTAAGGGTATCAAAATAACATTAAAAAATCTCACTTTCTATTTTAAAATTTTAATTTTGTTTTTTAGAATCATACTAATCACAACGTAGATTTTCGATCCTTAAAATTTGAAAAAAATTTATATAAGGTTACAACCTTAAAAAGGAAGGAAGCCCGGATTAAACCGGCTAGCGCATTGGGCTATATGTTCGCAGCATTAGATCTCGGCCTACAATCCTATATGCAAGGGTAAAGGGATCTCTCTCTCACATGCTTGCCCACATCATTGGCAGCATTTTAGTGATTCTTAAATTATCAAATTATCAAAGTAAATGGTGAAAAGTTTTTATCCGGGATGAAGCATTATCAATTTCCTTATTCAAGTAATATAGATCAACAAATAGTAATATAGAGTAAAAAGTGAAAAAACAAAACAACTAGGATTAATGAAAATTCTCCAAAACAATTAGAAATATATATTTCTAAAAGAAGTGTGAAATTGCAGGAAGGAGGGAAAAACAGAAGTAGATTTAGAAGCATTTTACAAACTTGACCATCTCTGGTTATTGCAAATCATGGTTCACCAAGGTTTTTAAACCAATCTGAGATGGTCCTGACAAGCATCCTTGTATCGTTGAGGGAAGCAGCCTTCAATCCCTGGGCAAGTGCATCAGCTGGAGTATACAAGTCACCCACCTTCCATTTGATATCCTGTGCATACAAAACTCATATTTCAGAACAATTTCATTTGCACATTATCAACTTTGATTTCATCTGCTTCTTCATCTGTTCTTAACACAGCTGAAACAAGAAACTTGTCCATAAGCATACACTGGAATTACATGTCACCTGTTTCAATACACACACTTGCAAGTACAGACTCTAGGCAAAGGTGGTCGGGGTGGCCGGAGCCACAACACGACATGGAGAGATCCATTCTCACCAGGTAGGTACCTCTTCAACAAAAACACATACGCACATTTGCACACCTAAAGCGAGAGAGAGAGAGAGAGAGAGAGAGAGAGAGAGAGAGAGAGAGAGAGAGAGAAGAGAGAGAGAGACGTACGTACGTAACGTAAAACTAAAACTAAACTAACTAACGTAAGAACGTAACGTAAAGTAAAGTAATAAGTAACTACTAACTAACTAACTTAAGT